GCTCCAGCCTGTAATCCCAGCACTTTGGGAGGCCGAGACGGGCGGATCACGAGGTCAGGAGATCGAGACCATCCTGGCTAACATGGTGAAACCCCGTCTCTACTAAAAAAAAAATACAAAAATACTAGCCGGGTGAGGTGGCAGGCGCCTGTAGTCCCAGCTACTCGGGAGGCTGAGGCAGGAGAATGGCGTAAACCCGGGAGGGAGAGCTTGCAGTGAGCTGAGATCCGGTCACTGCACTCCAGCCCGGGCGACAGAACAAGACTCCGTCTCAAAAAAAAAAAAAAAAAAAAAAAAGTCTTGCTCTGTCACCCAGGTTGGAGTGCAGTGACACGATCTCAGCTCACTGCAAGCTCCGCCTCCCGGGTTCTCACCATTCTCCTGCCTCAGCCTCCAAAGTAGCTGGGACTACAGGTGCCTGCCACCATGCCCGGCTAATTTTTTTGTATTTTTAGTAGAGACAGGGTTTCACCGTGTTAGCCAGGATGGTCTCCATCTCCTGACCTCGTGATTCGCCCGCCTCGGCCTCCCAAAGTGTTGGGATTACAGGCGTGAGCCACTGCGCCCTGAGCCACTGCGCCCGGCAACAAAATCTATACTCTTAACCTAGTCCCATGAGCAGCATAGCAAGCTACTGAACCTCTGGGCGTGTCTCCCGGTTACTGATATAACAAATCACTCTGAATGTTAGCATCTGCAAACATTTTATTATCTCTCGTTGTGCTGGACTTTGAATGGGATCAGTGAGGCAGTTCTTACTTTGTCCTCAGACAGTGGCTAGGCTGGAGTCATCTTGAAGCCTTCCTCACTCATGTCTGACATTTGATACTGCTGTCAGCTGAACATGTACACGTGGCCTGTGTGGCCTGGGCTGCTTCACAGCACCCTCTCCCCTCACAGGCCCTATGGCCATGCTCTACCACTACCTGGAACCTGCCTGAAAACCAGATTTTTTTTTCCTTGAGATAGGGTCTCGCTTTGTCATCCAGGCTGGAGTGTAGTGGCAGGATCATGGCTCACTGCAGCATTAACCTCCTAGGTGCAAATGATCCTCCCACTGTAGTCCCCCAAGTAGCAGGGACTACAGGCACGTGTCACCATGCCTGGCTAACCAGACTCTTGATGGCAGCTTTTGAACCCAAGTCCCCACATCTGAAGATCCATCCCTGGACTTGATAATTTGTGAGCCAATAAACTTCCACTAAAGCAGGACTGAATTCAGTTTCTGTAACCTGTAACCAAAAGTCCTTACTACACCTACTGAGGGTGGTTATGGAGATTAAGTAAGTGTAAAATGTGCTTTTTAACAGCAAGTGTTCAGGAAATGGTTTACTGTTATGGATGAAGTTTATTATGAAGAGTCTGGCTACTGGTGGAGGGATTTTGATTTGCCTAAAACCTCAATGAATCTATGATCTGGTTGGGATGAAAACCAAGGATGCCTGGCTCAGAATCTTTTGCCCTGTTCTGCCTTCTGTATTTCTGTGGTCTTGTCAGACAGACCCACTGCATATAACATCCTATGGGGCAGGTTATGACCTTATGGGTCAACCTGGCCAGGGCTTGCAAATACCTGACACGTGCCCACACTTGATTTCCGTGCCCATAAGAGACACTGCCAAACTATCACATTAGTATTTCCAAATAGTCTAAAAATGCTGCAGATCCTCAAAAGGCACTCCAGGCAGCCGCTACTAAAAGTTCTGAGCCGGCAAGTGAATTGAGACCTGAGGTAGATTTTTAAAATATGGCCATATTTTGAAGCTCCTCCTGTTAAGAATTCGGGCTTAGCCATGTGACTTTGGCCAATGGAACCTTAAAGATACGACACAGCAAGATCCTCAAAAGCACTTGACACTGGGCTTGTGTTCTCTTGTGGCTTTTGGAACTCAGCCATGATGTCTAGAATCCTGGGTCAGCCTGCTAGGTGCTGGAACATGTGGCCCAGTTGCCCAGCCAACCACCTGACATGCGGGGGAGGCCATCTGAGACCAGCCAGTCCAGCTGATCTGCCAGTTCACTTCAGCCATGAGGGTCCAGATAAGAACCGCCACGCTGAACATAGCTCAAATTGCCAAGCCACACAATCTGGAGCTAATGTTTATTAAAGCTACTAAATTTGGGGGTGGTTATACAACAGTCAGTAACTGAATGAAGTCCCATTTACTATCCCTGATCTGGATCAACCTCTCATTTTACAGCCGAGGAAACAGACCTAGAAAGGAAAAAGACTTGCCCAGAGTCATCAACCTGGCTGGCAGCAACAGGGGGAAAGCCCCAGGCCTCTTAGCTCACAATCCAGTATACCCACTGGCTGCTCTGTTCTTTCAAGATAGCTGTGAGGATCAAAAATGAGGTTTCCAATCTTGAAAACATCTAAAGACTGGTCCTTTGGGCACAATCTGGTCCCACATTTATCACCATCTCCTTTCGGAGTGTTCAGATGTTAGAAAAATGACAACTGTTGCACAGCGGAATGGATGTTTTTGCTGCCCCAACGCAGTGGAAGGGCACGTGTATGCAGTGTTGGAAGCCAACCTCCTACCCGAGGGTCCCGCTGTGTGCTTTCCCAGGGGGGAGCATCCAGGGGCTTTTCTGGAATACCCGATGGGACACTCATTCTCCCTGTCCAGCCTATGACCTGGTGCCAGCATGACTAGGCAAGGCCTTATGGGCAGGAGTGAGTAGAGCTGATGCCTGCTACCCCTGAAAGTGTCTTCCCTGCTTTTCTCACGGTCCTCCAAGCCTGGCATACTAAGGAAGCCCATGGTCACAAGCGCATGATCAACCTGACCGTCAAGCTCTGAAACAGAGTTCCTCAGTAAAGCACGTTTGGGTAGGGCCTGCAGCAGGCATAGAGCACTAGGCTCTGGGGGCACAGGGATAGTGCCCTAGTGCTATTACGCCCTCAGTGCGAGGTTCATTCAGCTCTAAATCCCATTCTTTGAACTCTGCCCAAGTTCCAATACAGGCTAGCAGCTGTCCCCCATGTTTTACAGATGGGGACACTAAGAGCTAAGGGCAGTAATGACTTGCCAGGGTATTGAAATGGGTCTGCTAGAGCTGACTCTGGCCTTCTGGACAAGCAAAGATGTGGGTACATGGATTGGTGAAGTATGTTCCACTGAGGGCTCTTCAGGGAGATGAGGCACTTGTTGTGGACCGAGCCCCTTCCTCTGTACACCCTCTTCATCTCTCCAAATTGAAGCCTTTGGATTTGACTAAGCTGGGCCAAGGCCCAGCCCAATCCCAAGGCGCCTGTTTCTCACCCCATGCCTGTATCTCATGGCCTTAAGGTCTCAGCCTCCACCATGGGCTCCTGACAAATCTCAACTCTCTCCCTGCTGCCCAGGGTCCCTAGCAGGCAGATGTATGGGGACTGTGATCCTCCTGGGGCAGCTAATACTCAGGCAATGGCTAAGCAGGGATTGGGGACTTTGGCTCAGGTATGAGGCCAGAACTCTGGCTGCGTTGGGGCTAGCCTAGTCAGGCCCCAGGAGAGCTTGGGAAGACTAAAGCGCAGAACTACACTGGGACCTCAGAGTGCTGGCCTGCCAAGGATGACAGGCAGGAGGACTGCTCAGTGAGAGAGACACGGACAACAAAGACTTCCCTGTGGAGTTTGAGCACTGCCCAAAGCCTCCACCCTCTACCAAAACCTAGAGCCAAAGCCCAGGGGGAAGCTTCCTTAGAGGCTATAGATCAGGTTGGTTTGAAACGGGGAGTTTTCAATAAGGACTCCAGCAGATCTGCAAACTCTGAGCAACACGTAAAGATGGAGGGAAAACCTAAAGCCCTTTCTGATGATGGGATTGAATTTTGTGTTGGGGGAACGCTTCCAGAGGAGAGAACGAGCAATTAACGAGCAGTCGGAGGGTCTGGGAGACTTCTCAGAGGTGGCAACACCACAGCAGCAGCTTCATCCTGAGCGGCTATTTCCCAGGTAGAGAAAGTAGGAGCAGGAAGAGTGCGTGCCAGGCCTGGAACAAAGCCTATTTCTACGTGCTGCCCTCCCACAGCTCCATATCAACGAGACCAGCCTAAGTGGCCACATATGAATCCCGCAGCTCACTGGAACAGAGTGGGAACTTGTAACCTACGAGTGATTAGGAAAAAAAAAAAATTGCAGTGGCAGTTGATTCTCTCTTGGGAACTTGAACATGGGGAAAATGGATCCATTCATTGTGGGGAGTTAAGGGGGAAGGAGGTGACATAAGCAGTACACAATGAGCATGTACAAGAAGCACACGTTTGACGGAACCCGGTTGATTGTTAGAGAACAAATGTCTAGATGGGTGGCCCAAGACAGGCGCAGACAGGCTGCGTGTTTCTTGATGCAAACTTCCTACTGCTTGCTGTCAGTGGAGTGCAACTCTATTCCTTGCTACCAAACCTGCCTGGAGTGTGAAGAACTTGTGTGGTTTGTGAGGCTGAGATGTAGGGTTTGTGTCAGCGGCAGGAAAGGGGTGGTGACAAAAACAGGAGGCTGGAGTAAGCAGGATCTTACACCCCACATTCAGGAGGAAGAGTCAGTAAAGGGATTTTAGGCAGGGAAGGGATACGTTCAGAAAGACTGCATGGCTGCTGGAAGATGGTATAGGGCAGAAGCAGGAGACTGGGAGGCTGGTGGGAGGACAAAGTCCAAGTGAAAAAATTATAGCGTGTCCTCAGCCAGAAGAGAGAAGGTACATAGTTGCAGACTCCAGAATCCTTTTAAGAGCTGGGAAAGACCAGACTTAGAAGCTGGGGAAAGAGATAAGGTCTTGACCTACTATGGGGTAAACCAAGTAGGTCACAACTGCTTGACACTTCAGCCAGCAAGCTGCTCATGGGCCAGCATATCCAACCCTCCCCAGTGGCCCCACTGGCCATTTTAATCACCACCAAGGACACTAAGGTCCAGATGGATCAGTATTAGGCACCCCAGACCAGCTTTCTGGTGGGCAGAAGGGCTGGGATATCTTCATGAGAAAACACAAATCATCCCATCTCAGAGCAGGTTGGGATCCAATCTCTTTATTGTCAGGGTCCCCTCCCTGTGGCCCCCCGCCAAACCTATAGAAAAAACCCAAGCCTAGGAGTGTCCTGGGGAGGGGAGGCAGTGTGGGGAAACTCCTGTGCTCTACCCTCTGGCCTGGGCAGTGCAGACAGGGAGGGCTCATGGGGAAGGAGTAGGCCAGTAACTCCACCTGCAGAGGACATGGCACTGGCTGGGATGCGTTGGGGGAGGAGGCACCTGCTGCCAGCTTTCCTCTGGTACCCGCTGGGGGGTGGCATCCAGGGTTGGGTGCCCGGCTTGAGGCCTGGGGCAGCGATGCCCTTCACCTGCTGGTGGCCATTGCTCCTGTCAGGCTGAGAGAGAGAGAGACAAAGAAGAGACTAAGGCCGAGAGGAAGACACCCTGGTGCTAATAACAGGGGTAGGGAAGAAAGGGTAGAATGATGTCTAGAGACAGAGATACTCTTGCACTCTGGCTGTGGCCTCATAATTTCCTGGCCATGTAACCTTGGGCAAGTCTCACCTGCTCTTTGAACCTCCATTTCTTCACCTGAACCCATGTAACTCACCTGTGAACTATTTTAACAAGCTTTGGCAAGCATCAGGCACAAACGGGTGTAGCAGGATGGCTGGATATGGAGGTTTGTTTGCATTCCAGACAAAACAAACCAAGAAATTCCAAAAGAAGACTGCAGCATATGTAGAATTTTCTAAAGTTCTTCTTGAGGCCTTTGCTGGTGGGATACCTTACTACAGCATAAATGTGTCATCTATCCAGACACCTCCCTGGGAACACTGGTGTTTGAGACCTTTCTCCACCCAAGCCACCCCAAAGGAATGCGTCAGAGAGTAGGCAGAGCTAGGTGTGGCCTGGCTTTCCTTCAAGGTAGGGCAGAGTAGATGGTAAACAGTGGCCAGAGAGTGGGCTTTGAAGCCTAACACCACTGGGCTGAAATCCAGGCTCCACCAATTACTACCTTATCTCCCTGCCCCCGTTAGTGTCTGTTTCCACATCTATTATATTGGTACAATCATCAGCTTGTGGGACTGAAGATGAACTCAGAGAAAGCAGGTGTAGCTCCTGTCATACAGGGCATTTCCTCCCCATGAAAGAATCAAATCCCAGCCCCTAAGCCTGACACATACGGTCCTTCACAATCACCCTCTGATGCTAAGCAGAGTCCTCTACCAACTAGCTGGGCACTGCAGCCACAGGAGGCTCTTGGCCTCACCACATACCAAAGACTGTCACAGCTCTGTACAGCTAAGGCCATTCCCTTGGTGTGGAACATTGCTCCCTCAATCACTAGCAGGCTCAGCTACACATCATCTCTTCCATGACCTGGCCTTGCTCTATTGTTATCCTGCTCACACTAGGTGGTAATGGCTCATATCTTCCTCTACCAGACTAGGAGCTCCTCAAGGGCAGAGACAGGCAACACGGCGGAGTGTGCTGAGGGAAGGAACCGTTGCTAGGCGGGCCCAGCTGGCCCATCTACGGCACCTGCTTCCTCAGCATGGCAAGCCCTAGGAATGAAGGGGTGTGATGGGATGGCTAGATATGGAAGGGACTTCATTCTTGGGTACAGTCAGTGCTACCAGGCCAGGTATGCATCATGATACTTCCTGCACAATCCAGGGAAAAAGCAACAACCTCCACTTCACTGCTTCCCCACCCTCTGCCCATCAGGACAGGACCCCTGTACCTGCTTACTGCAAGGCCCCATCATCCGCGTCTGTGTCCTGGCTGTGTTCCTGATAGGGAGGAGGTAAGAGAGACCACACATCACTCACTGCAGCTCTGAGTCCTGCCCTGAGCCATCTGTCCAGAAAAACTTCAGGGTCCAGAGAGCATCTAGAGGACACAGTCAGAAGAGGCAGGAACGGCCAAGGGGAATGACTATGGGACCAGCCAACAAAGCTGGCTTGGAAGCTTGTGAGGGTGGTCTGAGGAGTGAAGGGTGTTCTGGGAGTCGCAGGAGCCCCATTTCTGTGCATAGACAGCCTGCACTGGAGAAGGCTGAAAGCCTTATAGACTGGTGAGCTCCCTATCTCTGGCGGCATCTAAGTCTTTGTCAGGGCCTTTATGGACACTGCTATGCCTGAGCAAATAAGATGAAAGATCAGGCTACACTGAGAGATGAGTTGGGCATAAGGCGGACCTCCTAACTGTCATGGCCATGAGCCCATCTGTTCTCATGATAGAACCTAGCAGTGCTGAAAAGGAGAAAGCTGCAGACCCAGCAAGTCAGTCTAGACTCCAACCCTGGTTCAGTCCCTATGAGCTGATGCCCTAAGCACGCCACTCAGTCTTTGAGTCTCGGTTTCCTCACAGGGTAAAATGTGGGAACAGAATACTCTGTATAGTACAGGGCTCTTGTTAAGGTTATGTGAAGTTAGAGAGTGTGGTCTGGGTCTTGGTGCTCAATGAGAGTTCATTAAGTAAATAAGCAGCAAGTACACAACCCATATCCCACAGACTCAGAGTTTGGTCTACCCTCCCACTCAACATAAGCTGCTGGTCAAATGGCCTCCCGCCCTCAGCCTGAATAGTTCTAGTAATAGGTGGGGAGTAAAAGGTGTATCCTTTATGAGACAGCTTTTGCTTCGTGCTTGAGCAGCAACGGCTTTTAGAAAATCCTCATGTGAAGGTGACACCCACCTCCTGGGTGTGGCCTCCACAAGACACCCCAGCCCTGCTCTGAAGCTCTGCAGGCCATATGTGCTCTCTTATGTCCAAATCTCCCCTTCTCCAACTCATGCGGAAACCGGAGGCCAGAATGCGCCTGCACTTAGGGGAGGTCTGCCCTAGGCTTCAGTGGGACTTCTGATGGTGTCTGAGATAGGCAAGTGCCCCCTGCTCATTCTCCCCTCTTTCCCCCAGGACCAGAACCCCTGGGAAGGAGAGAAGAGGAAGTTCACAGTGGGGGCAACCAGCTCAGGCTGCCTGTTGCCCTGTTGGTCTCCTGAGAATAGGAGCGCAGTCAAGTCCCAGTCGTGCCCCTGGCCAGGCCCTCACCAGCTCTTCCTCGCTGTGTGTCAGCAGCCCCTCCTCATCGCCGTCATCTCGGGTCCGTGCTTCTCCCTGGGGCAGGCCTGCCTCAGAAGTCGTGTTCTCTTGGGGGGCTGGTGCCCGGCTGCCGCTACTGCCACCACCGCCGCCACCGCCGCCGCCGCCACCGCCACCACCGCCGCCGCTGCCGCCACTGCCACCACCACCGCCACCGCCGCCGGCACCACCTCCATCACCCTTCTTCTTGCCATCTTGAGGGGAAGGGGTGGAGGAGGGGAGAATAAAACTCAGCCTGGGGCAGCTGTCTAGGGCAGCACCTTAGCAGAAGCTGGCCTCAGCATGGTGAGTGCAGGTGGCTCGGGATCTGCAGGGCCACCCTAGCTCCTCTCTCCCATGTATTATTTCCCCATGCTCTGCCCTGTGCCCTGGTCGCGGAGGTGGGTGAGAATCCTCAGAGGCTGACCTGGATTGGCCTTTTGCTCCGCAGCGATCTGCTCCAAGCGGCTCAGCAGGGCATCGATATTGGACTTGATCTGTGTCAGCTCCGTCTTGATGGCCTGCAGCTCACTGCTCTTTACTGGGAGTGGAGGGGGGACAGGGCTGTCATCTATGGGGCTGGAGGCTTGACAGTAGCACAAAACCTCAGCCCTGTTCTTTCAACCAGGAAAGCAGTTATTATTTTTTTCCCTACTCAGGGAAAAGGCCTCCTCCTTAGACTACCTGGCATCCATCCCTACAATCACAGTGAACACTTCTGAACCTGGCTTTCTTTTCTCCTGATACCTCAACTCTGAAAGGGACCCAGGAAAGACAGGAGCACAGGTGTGTATGTGTGGTGTGCTCTTCTGTGCGCACCTGAGCAAGAACATGTCTTCTGCAATCTGAATTCCTGCGTGCTTAGTTAAGCAGTATGTGTGTACCAGAGTGAATGTGGAGTAGTGGGCCTGTGTAGACCCGTCCTTATCCTTCCTAGAGGAAAGATGGCATCATTTCTTCACTGGGCACCATATCCAGCACTGGACCCTCTGAACCCTACCCAACCCACCCCCTCCTCCTAAAACAGCTGTCTCCTCACAGAAATGCATGAAAATACGTGGTTGTGTCAGAGCAGCAGAATTGTGGAAGATTTTTTCTTTTATCTATTTTCCAATGTAAAAAAATGTCATTCTATTATTTTGCTAATGATAAAAACAGATGATACAGTTACTCACATTTGATCTTGGCTGAGCTGGTGGTGATGGCTGTGGAGCGGGCAAAGAGCTTGACAGGTATGTTAGTTTTGACACGCCGGACCAAAGGGACTGTGACCCGGGGTCGCTTCACAGGGACTGCCCTGGGTACTGGCACCGGCGACAGACGGCCCCGGTAGTCGAAGAGCCTGTGAGGGCAGATGGGCCAGAGGCTGCAGCATGGCTTGTGGCCACCAGACAGGTATTGCAGCTCCAGCTCCAAATGTGTGTGGCTGGTGAGGGGCTGGGAGGCCTGCACTAAACACAACTCTGCAGGATCCCAGCTAGCCCTGGAGTGAAGAGGAAGGGCTTTCCAGACCCTGATGGCTGTTGGCATCCTCACGACCTCACTATAACCTCTCCAACCATCCAGGTCAAGTAAGGGCAGGCAAGGCAGTAGGTGGTAGTGGTTATACCCCATTCAAAAGAGGAGACATCCCTGGGTCCCCTGACACCCAGGCCTGCTCTATTACATGACCTGACTTCTGCTTGATCAACTGTCACCCCAACCTCTGCTCTGAGTCTGCAAATCTCCAAGCAGCACAAATCCCCAGCTAGGAATAGAGAGGTATGGGAGTGGGGGTCAACTGAGCCTGCCTAAGCCTCAGTTTCCCCATATGCCAAATGAGGACGGCTACCCAAATTCAGTGTCCACCCAAGGGTACAACATGAAAGAATTCGGTTAAAAACACACTTTAGAATGTGTTAATAGATGAAAGGTCAGGGTACTGAGACCCTCAGCTCACGAGCCCATGACCTAAGAGGCATAAGACTGAAGTCTAAGCCCTTTCCTTACTTCACCTCCTTAATCACCACACCCTTCATGCTCCATTCCAGAGACAAAGGCCAGGGGCCTGGGACAGTATCAAGGTCAGGCAGCTCAATCAGACCCCCCAAGGCTCCCAGGCTGTGCATTGCTCCCAACCAAAGTCATCTCCCAGCCCTCTCCCAGAGGGCTTCCTTTCCAGCTGACCAGGCAGAAACTCAGTAGGCTGAGAAGCAGTCTTTCCCACATCTGCTGCTACCACCTTTTTCAGGGAATTGCGGCTGTAGGCGGTATACTCCATATCATTTTTCCTGACAACAGACAGGAAATCTGTCACCACTGGGCCAAAGCCCCATTCCTTGGGGCTCCTTTGTTCAGGGAGCCCCTCCCTGGAGGTGGTGATGGCTGCAGATGGAGAATCTCTGGGAATGGATCCAATCCCAGACCCTGCATTTCTGCCCCCAAGGGGAGGGGACGGCTCTGGCCTTGGTCAGAATCACTGAACCACAGAATCCCAGAGCTGGAAGAGCCTGGAGAGATCACTTGGTGCCAGCACAAGGGAATTTGCCCAAGGTCACACAATCCATTCAGTGGCAGAGCTGAGATTAGCACCTAAATCTTCCGACTCCCAGGATATTTCCCACCACACCACACAGTCTCCTGAAACCATTCACAGGGGGTCGGGGGTGAGGGTCGGGGTGGATGACTGATGCTCAGAGAGGCACTGTTCTTCTTAGGCTGCCTGGGGTGGGCTAAGATGGACAGAGGGAGAGAGGCAGGTAGGAAGAGAGATTTGAGTTAGTCTCTACCATGATTTCTACTCAAGAATGTGGCTAGTGCTGTTGTAGTGGGAGCCCACAGCCTCCGGGCTGGAGTCTGGGTAGGGCTTGGGAGTAGAGGGTAGGCCACAGCCCATCAAGGACTAATCAGACTTCCAAACGGCTGCTGGCATCTTGTCTCTAAATATAAACCCAAGAGGCTTAGACTGAGCTCTGGGGTTCCTACCAGCTGCTTGGGTACCTCACAGAGGGAAAGGCTCAAACTCCCTGCAACCAGCGCTGTACCCTGTTGTGTATTCCAACTGGCCACATTTATACAGCTCTTCGCTGTACAGTCTCCTTGAGTCTCACCCAAGGACAAAAAGGAAAAAGAGTAGTTAGCGTGGCAGACAGTGTGCTATGGCAGTAGAAGCTCTGGCCTGGGTATCTGCAGAACAGGACCCCAGTCTCAGCTCTGCCACTGACTGGTGGAGCAACCCGAGGCAAACCTTTGGGCTTTGGTTCTCATTTGGAGAACTGAGTGGGCTGCACCAACAATCTCTCAGGACCCTTCCAGCTTGGCTGTTTCACGCCTGGGCACGCCCCTCCCCTGCTCACCTGTCGTAGAAGTCGTCCCGGTAGTAATCATAGTCAAAGATGTAGCCACTGGGGAAACAAAGGGGAGAGGGCTGGAGCTTAGGGACGGCCACTCAGCCCACTTTCCACAGGCCCTCATCTCCAAACACCTCCCCAAGTTCTAGACTCAGCACACTGTCACACCAGCATTTACTCCCTCTGTGGAAAGAGAGAGCCATCCCACCCAGACAGACAGACAGACAGCCCCACCTGTATATGGCAGATGCTGCTCTCTTTAGCCCCTTGGGTCTGTCAGGCTTAGGCTCTCCAGCCATGTTGATGTCTGTGTGGAGGGAGAAGGCAGAGTTGGAATGCTAGCATGACAGTAGTGTGCCCACACCCATCACCCTCATGCACACACACAGCAATTCATGTGCTTACATGGTATACACATGGATTCTGCTCACTGATGGCGCCAACAAAGGTCTTCACACATCTAGTCTTCAAACATTAGATTCATATCCAGATATCACATGGATATGCCTGTTTACATGTCCGTACACTTTCAGATCCACCCATACACGCTCATAAACATGTCCTCCCCCACTCCCACCCACCCACACACGTCGAGTATTGCTATACACATTCTGAAATACACTCATGTAAATGCATAACACTTCAAGTACATGGGAACACATACATAGAGCCACCCTCACACACACATTCACATATCCAGGTAAGAAAGTCACACACAGGTAATGTGTACTCTCAAGTACACTCAGTATAGACAACTACCCACATGCAAATGAGCCAATGCACATTCACATGGATGTTCTACCAAACACCTTCATGCCTAGAATAATGCTTACTACGTGCAAAGGTCTCAATAAATAGCTGGTAAATATATGCATTATCTGCTGACACATTCAAATATATTCTCTCTCACACACACACTACACCTATACATACAAAGGTATGCGTCCACATATCTCCACATGTTCAGACAATCCATATACTTCTTGTTCAGGAAAAAAACACATATAGATACCCGTTTTCAAACATACACATATACACAGGAGTAAATGCACATACGTGAACACTGTACATACTTTAAGAGAGACCACTAGCATAGTCATATCACATGGACGTGACACCAAAGCCAAATGTATTCGCATTGTCCTTGTGCTCCCAGACCCTCCTGCTCGCTCTCAGAAAGGGTTCTAACCTAAGGGATCTGTACCCGGTGTAACAGGCTGTTCTAGGCCATTCTGGTCTCTTTCTCTGGAGAATCTGCATTTTAACTGGAACTGTAAAGCATGTCACTAACAAGTTCTGAGAAAGCAGAGATAGGTCAGAAATGTTTTCCAGAGGCTTCTAAAATTCTTCCCTATAGGGATTAATTTCATAACTACTTAAACATACCTTATAAATCTATAAAATCTCAGAGCAGTGGTAGTGGTGAGAGAAACAGAGAAGGGGGTTGAGAACTGGATAGTGATAGCAGCTACTCTAGGGAATACTAGGAGAATATAGTGGAGAGAGGCTTACCCAGGGTCTGCCCGGCCAGCACCCGCCCATTCTCTCCCAGCACAGCTGCCCGGGCATGGCGCTCGTTGGAGTACTGAACAAAGGCATAGCCCTTGTGCACAGAACAGCCGGCCACACGGCCATACTTAGAGAAGATGGTCTCCACATCTGACTTCTTCACCAGAGCTGTGTTGAGGTTTCCAATGAACACTCGAGAGTTGATGGACTTGGGGTCATTCTTGTTGGTTACGTTGCTTGCCTGCATCTTCAAGGACATGGTGCCTACCTGAAGAGAGAGAGCCTCTGTGAAGTTGGGTCCCTGGGCTGGGCTCAAGGACTGCCCACGGCCCATATCCTGGATAAATGAATTGCCTCTTACCTTCCTTAATCCTTATAGCATCCAGCTTACCTGTTTCTGCATCTTGTTTTCTTGTCATGTTACCAAGAGTTGCCACATACTGGCTGCTGACCTCATGCCAGGTGCTTTACCTACATCCCCTCATTTGGTACTCACATGATATGCAGAACCACAACATTTTACAAGGGAGAAATCTCACATTCAGAGAGGTCACGATGCTAGTGAATGGCAGGGCTGGGATCTGACCCCCTCATCTGCTTGACTCTAATTCTTCTAAGTCTACTTCTTTAATGCTCATCTCAAATGTTATTCCATTCAGGATCTAAATTTGAAGATCTTCAGTGTAGAACCATGGTCACGTGGTATTTGCAAGCGATGTTTACTCTAGACCACCACATGATGAAAACTGCAGGGTCCGGGCGTGGTGGCTCACACCTGTAATCCCAGCACGCTGGAGGCCAAGACAGGTGCATCACCTGACAGGTGCATCAGGAGTTTGAAACCAGCCTGGCAAACATGGTGAAACCCTGTCTCTACTAAAAACACAAAAAATTAGCCAGGCATGGTGGCAGGCACCTATAATCCCAGCTACTTGGGAGTCTGAGGCAGGAAAATCGCTTGAACCCGGGAGGCAGAGGTTGCAGTGAGCTGAGATTGTGCCACTGCACTCCAGCCTGGGCGACAGAGAGCGAGACTCTGTCTCAAAAAAATAAAACAAAGAAAAGAAAACAAAACTGCTTAGTCTGATCCAGACACAGAACTGTCTGAATTGCTACCAGCCATTTTGAAAAGGGTATACTAGCTAAGCCTGATATGGTTTGAATTTGTGTCCGTGCCCAAATCTCATGTCTAATTGTAATCCCCAGTGTTGGAGGTGGGGCCTAGTGGGAGGTGACTGGATCATGGTGACTGAAATCATGGATTTCCCCCTCGGTGCTCCTCTCGTGATAGTGAGTGAGTGCTCGTAAGATCTGGTTATTTAGAAGAGTGTAGTACCTCCCACTGTCTCTTTTCCTCCTGCCCTGGCCATATGAAGATGCGTCTACTTCCCCTTCTCCTTCCACTACAATTGTAAATTTCCTGAGGCCTCCTGAGAAGCAGAGGCCTGTACAGCCTGCAGAACTGTGAGCCAATTAAACTTTTCATTATAAATTACCCAATCTCAGGTATTTCTTTATAACAGTGCAAGAATGGACTAATACAAAGCCTCGCCAGGTACTCACTGTGGGCTAAGGGTGGCATACAATACTGAATAATCCCAAGATCCCACAAGTGAATGTCATGATTACTCATATTTTACCAGAAATTAATTGACAAGTTCATTAACTTACTAGTAAGGAGCATTCAAACCCAGGTCAGTCCGTTCCTAAAGTCTATTTCTTTCAACTTTATCATTTTGCTTCCCAGAGCTAAAGCCAATTTAGATACCCCAGAAAGTCAACACATTCACCTGAGAATTATTTTTAATAAATTTATTTTTTAGTTACCCATATTAATATTAACTCATTCAAATATTTTTCCGTTTGGCTTAGACATAACACTGCACCTACCCTTTGCTCTCTATATTCTGGTCAGGTCTTTTACCCCAAAGGGCTGTACAAATTTTTCCCGCACAGTTTATGGCTAGGCATAGGCACCACGGGGAAAGGAAAAGGAGAGAAGCTCAGTTTCAGCAGGAAAAGCCTAAGTTAAGCCTTGGCATTCATGGTTCCCGGCCCAGTCTGCTGCTCATGGGTGTAGGTTGATGCCGCTCCCTTTTGGAACCCTCCTATCTCAATAACCTCACCTTAGGACCATTTCAGGTGATAGAAGACTCCAAAGAGCATATATAAAAACTTTCATCAGTCTGCCAGCCTACTTACCTAATATGTTGGGGGATTTTCTTTTCAGTGAACTGGAAAAAATAAATCTGTATCTCTTATCCCACTAGGGGATAAGAGACTTTCTCCTAAATCCTCCCTGCCTGGAAGCTGGCATGTTCTGGCCAGCAGGTGGTACTGTTTACAAGGAAATCATAGGCTGCACCTGAGCCCAACTTGGGAAGAAACTGCTCCTGGGGTTAGGCTTACCTAATGGATATACTGGAGTCAGGAGTGCATTATCTCAGATAAAGAAAAGGGGCTGAGAGGGTCCCATCACTGCTACTGATGAAGGGGCTGGTTCCAGCTTTGGAACTGACTTGGAAAGAGACAGACTCTGGTTATTTTACCTGTGGTTCCACTCATCTACACTTATTAGGCAGTGAGGGACACAAAGAATAACACATTGTGCATAGCATACGAGGCAGGAAATGCTCAATGCTTGTTGTTCCCATGGGCTTGCCATTCCTCACAGTTCTCGCTGACAATCCCTCTCCTACATGGATGCCAAGCCATTCAAGGGTTAATTCTTTGTCTATCCATGGGTATACAAGAAGTTAATAGGGCCCCTGTATGGGCATCAGATGATTCTCTCCTAGGTAGTTCAGCTCAAAGAGCTACAGTTTTGGCCCAGGGAGAAGCCACCTGCTTTGCCTAGAGGGAGTCAACCAAGCCTGGGGTGTGGATGGAGACAGACTGACCTCTACTGGGAGCCACAAGCACCACTGAGCAGGAAGCATTTGCTGAACAGCTGTTCATGGTATTGTGACAAGATCAGTACTCACCTCCCTGACTGGTGAGCCAAGTTTTTAAGGTTTGGCTCTGCCAGTCTTTTCTCTCATTCCCTGGGGTTTGGAATGATGCACATAAAAGGACTTTGCAAACCCTAAAGTCCTTCACAAGATCTTGTAATTACACTGGCTTGCACCTCTTTATTCCAATACTGCCATCTGCAAGCCCCATTCTAGTTGAGGGTAAAGGTCAGAGTGGAACACATTCTGTATAATGCCAAGGAGGGGCAGCCAGAAGCCATGGCATATGAACATCAGTTTTCTGATCTGTAGAGGAGAGACTTGGGAAGTGTATGTATGTGGTTGCAAGTGCTGCTCTGGGTGAGAAGTCTGCAGTTAAAAGAAATGCTCACCTATGGCATGCTCTAGGCACCCAACCTCTGAGCTCCTCGTCTAAACAGCCCCCTATCCACTTTCATGCCCTGCACACTCCTCTGGAAGCAGGATGGGCAGGATGTGCTACTGTTGTGTGGACTCCCTCAGCCCAAAGAGACAAGTATCTACGGGGGTGTGGAAAGGCTTGAGTGACCACACACACGTTGATGAGGCTCCTCTAAGTGAGGAACAGAATTGGGAAAGGGAATGAAAAGGAGGTGGGGCCAGACTAGGTCTCCCTGAACTGCCAGGTTCAGGTACAGAATCCTAACGAGTCCAAGAATTCTAAATTTAGACATGGTATTCCAAGTTGTTAGGGACATCACAATTTATTAGCTTCACTTAGAACCTTCAACTGTTTAAACATATGGTACATGGGTCTCTATTTGTACTCTTATTACTCTGCCCTGCAAATGTTACAGGGCAGGCCTGACAAAACTTGAGGCACAGTAAGTGTTCAATCAATATTAGGGAGGGAGTGGTTAAACATATGTCCCAGGAGGTGGTGAGAAAGTCTAGCTGTGGACTGCCTTAAGTGGTTAGGACCACTGGGGCAGAGGTCCCAGATACCTTTTTCTAATCTTTGACCCAAACACCCACCTCCACAGACCAACTCAATCCCTCCCACCCAATTCTTGCTATGCTTTTCAAGGCTTCCCCCTAGTTTAGAGTGGCAGCTCTAGAAAATATTGACATCCATTCAGCAGGAGCTACTTGACTCGGTAAGCTATTTCCTGCCCTGGGCCAAGTTCTGCCTCTTAGATTAGCTGTGTAATTGAGAGCAAGGTGTCTGCAGCCCCCAGGGGTCCTATGTTTAGCAATGAGCTGAGGAGAGGTGGATAGAAGGACTGTTCTTGGTGGTTGGGAGAAGGGAGAGAAGCAAATTTGTTCGTAGAGACTTCTGCAGTGTCAGATGAGCAGAGACCTATGTGCACATGGAGCTTATAAATGCTCTCACTTGGAGGAACGGAAGTTTTACCCACAGTAAAAACTTGGCCAGGATGCCACAGCTAGTGAGTAGCAGAGCCAAGACTACCCCATGGGTCCTCTGACGCTAAGTCTAGGGTCCTTATATTCCATTTTTCATTCTGGGCTGGTGAGAGACAGGCCCCAAGACAGTGAGGAGTTGGGAGAGACCACAGTGTCTCAAAAAAAAAAACAAAAAACAAAAAACGCCATGTTTGAGAAAACTGGGGACTGGCTCCCCAATAAGTGCCTTCACCTACACCTGCAGGAAAAACAATTGCTGCGTAAAAGCTGGGCCTTTTAAGTTAATTAAAATCCACTAGGGACACAGGCTTTGAAATGCAATTTACAGCTCAAAGGGATGGGCCTGCTTCTCCAGGCTAGTAAGAGCAGAAGAAACGTGGCAAAAACAAATTCATTTTTTTCCAGTTGAAACATTTCAGCTGGAAATTGTTTTTGAACACAGGAGAGCCAAGCCTGAACATGGAGAAAAGTGACAGGGGTTTGCAAAGGTAGAAAAGTCCTAAAAGTTACCTCTGAACTTTGGGTAAATGAGATACCCAAAGAGCCGTCACAGTAAAAACAGCCACTGGCTTGGCACAGTGGCTCACGCCCATAATCCCAGCACTTTGGGAGGCCAAGGCGGGTGGATCACTTGAGGTCAGGCGCTCAGGACCAGCCTACCTAACATGGCGAAACCCCGTCTCTACTTAAAAGAAAGAAAGAAAAAAAAAAGCTAGGCATGGTGGTGTACGTCTGTAATCCCAGCTACTTGGGAGGCTGAGGCAGGAGAACTGTTTGATCACGCCACTGCACTCCAGCCTAGGCGACAGAGCGAGACTTCCAGTTTAAAAAAAAAAAAAAAAAAAAAAAAACCAGCCACTACTTACTGAATGCTGCATGGTATTACAGTATTTAACCCTCACAATAGCCCTGT